AAAGTAAATTGATTCTTGATAAATTTTTGAATGGTAATGGGACAAAAATTCCCATCTGACTCTAACCATTTTTTTGTTCTTGCAGTAAGTTTTTCAGTGATATAGGCTGACTTTTTTTTCTTCCTTTTTTTTTTTTTGGCACCCACATATAGCAAATAACTGTGAAACGTTTCAAACCTCAAAGTGACATTAAAACTGTGAAGTATGAAATGGAGTGCCAGAGCCCGGGAGGCACATCGCACAGCACTGCTCAGCAATTCAGTGCGTGTCTGAGTTACTGAGAAACAGCAAGGCCATTGCAAGATGCGGCATGATGGGTGCCACACAAATTAATAAATAAAAGCAATCTTCATTTGCAAGCACTCTCTACTGCCTAAACACTGCCGCCTTCTGTGTTTAGCAGCCCTGGCTGGTAACTGCAGCCTTGCCATCTGCTGTGAGAAATAACCGTACAAATGAATATTCTCCTTGCTATGTCAAGGTTACTGAGTGGTTAAGGAAAAGGGCTGTGGCTTTTCAGGCTTCTCCATGTATGCTGTATTCCCTCCCCCCAAATTACATGAATAGAGTCAGTTTGACATTGGTTTGTATTATATTTATATCCATCCCCCACTTCTGTTGATTTGCTCCCTTCCTAGGTTTCTTTGGATAGTATTCCAGCAAGGGTCAGATGAGTTCTTTCAGTTCCCAAAACCTGATTTAGGGCCCGTGTGTGGGGGTCCTTATGTATTTACTTGTGTCTGGGACTCAGAAATTTTGTGCATCTCACTTTTGAGAAGCATGTTCAGAGGGATTAGGGATTATTATTTTTTTAATTTTATTTTCTAAAATATGTTTTTATTGATTTCAGAGAGGAAAGGAGAGGGAGGGGGAGATAGAAACATTGATAATGAGAGAGAATCATTGATCAGCTATCTCCTGCACACCCCACACTGGGGATCGAGCCCAAAACCCAGGCATGTGACATGATTGGGAATCATAGGTCAATACTCAACCATTGAGCCAAGCCAGCCAGAATAGATCAGGAATTATTACCAAATCTCTTTGATTCTCTAGTCTAGATTAATAAAGAATGGGAAGGAGAGATGAGTTTCTCTGGGGTCCCAAAGGTGGATATGGGAGTCGTGCTAGGTCATGCGAGTGTTGATGAATTTGTTTTGACTCAGTGAAAAGCAAATGACAATAAAAATATTAATGACAACAGCAATAATTTCCTATTTCTTGAATGCTTATAAACAGTACTTAATATACAGTTAATTGACTTATTGCAATCTATTTACAAGGCTCACAAGTCTCATTCCCCCATTTTTAAGAATAAGGCAACTGATGTTCAGAGCAGCTATATGGTTTACTGAAGGCCAGAAGTGGAGCAGCAATTAGTCTGTTGACCTAATATCCTTGCTGCCCACCTTAAGTATATCACACTGTCTAGTATGATGCATTTCCTGAAGGAATGAGATTTTAATGAGCTGTTTTTGAAACCCTTAGTCTCAAGAGATATTTCAACAGAATGGTTAGTACTGGAGGATTTAGTAGATATCCAGCTGTGAGCCAAAGGAGAATAGTGCAGAGGTGTTAAGTGAGGTCATAGCTAGCCTATGAGGAGGGAGCATGGGGAGCAGGTATGGGTGGGAGGACAGAGCTAGACTGAAGGAACTGCTGCCAAGCGTGGAATTTGAGACACCAGGAGCTGCACAGAGAAGAGGGTGAGAACTAAAAAAATGTTTAAGTTTGGAAAGCAACTATGAGAGGCCAAATTAGCTGATGGACTAAGTAAAACTCAAATATCTGGAAGTCAGTTCTTAACTCACCTCCATGTGGGTCATCTATGAAGGAAGAGGAGTATGTAAGCCCTACTTATGTTAACTTTTATATCTTAATTTATGAATCTACTCTCTATACATTCATCCATCCATCCACCCACATCTGTCTTTTCTGAAAGAAACTGAGGTTTCTGGATCAGAGTCAGACTTTCAGTTACTCAGATAGCATCTTACTTGGGTTTCCCCCATGATTCAAGTCCTCCTGATGAGGACAGGGGTTACTCACTTGTATAGTGGAGATAGTGCAACAGAAGAGGTATTCTGAAATTTTGAATCTTTGAGCTTATTTAGGAAATTTAACACATTTTCCTGTCCTCCTTTAGAGAGAGAGAGAGAAAGAGAGAGGGGGGTAGGGGGAAAGGAGAGGGAGAGACAGAGGGGGAAGAAGAGAATGAGGGGGAGAAAGAACAAGTGCTTTAGAAATATAAACAAATTCAATCTGGAAAAAGGAGGTGAAATGAAGGTCCTATGTCTATTACTCTTTGGAATGCAAATTAATGTCTCTAGGAAGGTGCCTCTGAATCTCTCATGAGGCTCTATGGCTTTTTTGTCATTCAAGCATCCTTCACTGCTGTGCCAGAATTCCTTGCTTAGAAAGCTCTGACAGTGGAGGAATGAAAAAGTATTCATAGAGAATTAATTCCTAAAACCTGTTTTTAACTTTGTTTAAAAGAAAGATTAAGATTGGTTGACTAGGGATATATACACCAGTATTTTTTCCACAGATGGACCAGGGCCCAAGTAAACCTGCACAAAGGCTCAGGTTTGAGAGAGTCATTGAAATGTAGCCACATTATAGAGTTTTGGTTTGGTTTGCTATGCAGCATTATTATGGCAATTGTGATATTAGTGAAATTAGAAAGAAATTGACAAGATATATTTTGGTGATTACTGGTAAGTTTCCGGTTTGAATGGGTGGCTATATGATGATGCCATTTACTGACGTGAGAAAAGCAAGAAAGGACAGTTTTTGGAAGAGAAAAATTAGGAGTTCCATCAAATATGTTTGAGATACTTATAGACATAAACATTTACATGTAAGACAATTGTGTCCATGCGTCTGAAATTTTGAGGACAGATGTGGGCTACAAAATAAAACTTTAGTATGGACATAATTTATCTAAGGAATTGAATGAAATCTCCTAAGGAGCAAGTGATTTTGACATAAACAAAAGGGCTTATGATAGAGACCCAGGGCATGCCAGTTTTTAGAAGTCACATGGAAGAGGGAAGAGTTAGCAAAGGAGATTGGACAGCCTGGTTTTTATAAGAGGAAAACCAGAAGAAAGGGTTGTCACTTGACACCTTTACAAGAGAGTCACTATTGTCTTTGAGCATTGCTGAAGGCACAATAAAAAGCAGACTGAGGTTTGTTCAGTGGACGTGACCCCATGGAAGTGAATGTACCTTTGGTAAGAGCAATGACTACACAAGCTGAATTGGGAGTGAATGGGAGATAATGGGGCAAGGAAGTGGGTACAAACAGCATGTGTAGAGATAGCCATTTTCAACATTTTGCTGTAAAGTGAATGGAAACAACAAGATATATATTTTTTTCTTATATTATTACTGTTAGCTATAATGATGAGTACATTATGAGGTCATAAAAATTAAATCCTTTTATTTTATCTTGGTCAGTTCTTTACCCAGCCCTTGATGTGCATTTCAGATCTTCACCATTCTTTTGGAGACCTTTATTCAACTTCTATTCCCTTGTCTCAGCAAATGACTTCACCTCCTACTTCATGGAGAAAATAAAGGTGTTCTTGATGAACTTATTGGAAACTTATAAATAGGCAGCTGTTCTAATTTCTTCTTTTAGAACAAAATGCCTTTCCTCTAGAGTCTAGATCATGGCTAAGTTCTGTTCTATTCCTTCCTTTCTCTGCCAAGAACCTATCTAATTTCTTATGTGTTCTCTACTTTTTTTTTGTTTTAGCTTCCACCTTTTTATAGTATATAAGAATTCTAAAGGCTCTCCCATGTTAAAATATATTGATACCAAAACATTTTTTCTAGAACTTATGTCCCTGTGATCATTTCATCTCTCTTCTTCTCTTTAAATTACACCTCTTGAAAGGAGTCTACATTTTTTTTTTTATCTGCAAACACTTTATTCCTTCTAACCAGTGAAGTCTTGCTTCTGCCTCTATCTTTCTGTAAAAATTTCTAGCAATAATCTCCCAATTACCAAAGCTAAAGGATACCTCTCATTCTTCATCTTAGATTTATAAGATGAGAATAAATTTTCATGGCACTATTATTAGAATTATTCAATTATTTTTGTAACTATTTCATTATTTAGTTAATTTCATTCCCCAGACTAGAACCTTCACATCCCCAGGTGATTTCTCAAAATCTGGGGCCTAGCAGACTGTCCGTCACCTTATAGGCATTTGGTAAATATTTGTTGAATAGATAAGTGGATGGTGGATAAAAACACAATCCTTGTCCTTAAGAGACCACAAAAGAGTTCACAATCTAGTGAGGAGTTGGCATTCTATATAACACACATGTGTTGGAAATTTTAAGAGTAGAAAATCATATGACATCCACTCAGCCCACACACTAGAATGTGAAATGTCAGTAAATTGCCATCTGTCATTCTTGACTAATGAATCTGTCTATAAATTTGAAATATTAAGTTTTAAATTTTGTTATAATTACTTCATAAGAAATAGAATATAATTTAAATAGTGGGTCATAAAAAGAAAGTATTTTGTAATAACTTCAATATATAAATTTAATTCTTATGTTTTGAAGGTAAAAGATCTGGATTTAGCCTATGTGAGGGTCTTTTATAGTATCATCAAGTGTCTGTGGATAAGAGAGCTATTGCTCTTCTAGCCCAACTATTTGTATGGTATAAAATAATGTTCTCCAGAAAGTTCTGATAAAATCAATGCCAGGAAACACCTGTGATAGGGAACATACTCCCTTTTATGGTATCCAATTTCTGAATTCTTAAAACTCTAAATTCTCCTTAGCATAATACCCTCTAGGTATTAAGTGAAACTCAGATGAAGACTAATACCATATGGTTTCATTTACATGTGGAATCTAAAAAAGCAAACAAATATTGTAAATAAAATAAAACAAAAACAGACTGATAGAAATGAAGATCAAATTGGTGGTTTCCAGAGAAGAGGGGGTTACGGGGTGGGTGAAAAGGTTAAGGGAAATGTAGTCAATAATATTGTGACAAGTTTGCACAGTGACAGATGATTATTAGACTTAGATGATAACATTATAAGCCAGGTAAATGTTAAATCCCTATATTATACATCTGAAACTAATATAATAATGTATACCATGAATATTAAAAAAAACAACCCTCTAAATTCTAAAAAAAAAACTAGCTTCAAGTAACTTAAATTGGTCCAATTTAACTATTTAAGATTGGCTGCTTTTAGCCACCTGTATTAGACCCCCCCCCCCTTTTTTTTGAAAAGGGGAAATATAAGGATTTATTGTGATGATTGGGGCAACAATGGGGGTCAATTGAAGGAGGAATGGCAAACATATAGTAAGTAGTGATATTAAAAATGTTGTGTAACTGAATAAAAAGTGTTAAATATTTTATTTATTGATTCATATAACAAATGTTTAATGAGTGTGTTAGATATTATGAGTATGGCAAATCATTTCACTGTTTTGACGACCAATAGCATTTCCTGAGTCGAGTATTAAAATGTGGATGGGTAGCAAAACAAGGGAAAGACATTTCTTTATTCAACACATTTTTGTAGAGCACCTGAAAAATCCAAAATGGAAAACAAAAACAAAAACACCAATAATGAACAAATGTAAAGATTTAGGGAAGATCCCAGCTCCTGTTGCTGACAGTTTCTGCATATATCTGGTAGCCTTGAGCTTTCATTTTCTTTGCATGAGCAAGGCACAAAATAAATACTATGACATGTGCAAGATGGAAATACAGAGACTCCCCAAATTTGAATCTCCCCAAAAGATGATGTATCAATGAAAGACTGAGGAAGAAAATAAAAAGTCTTGCTTTGTAAGAAGGAATGGCAAAGAAACTTGAGTTTCTTAGTCTTGGCTCTGAGAGATGAGAAAAAAAAAAGTTTTCTCTTACAATGTACTAGAGGCTCAGTGCATGGATTTGTGAGCTGGTGGAGTCCCTTGGCCTGGCCTGTGCCCTCTCCCAATCTGGGACCCTTTGGGGAAGTAGTAGTGTGTGAAGCAGCAGGCAGCCGATGAGGAGCCTGAGCCTGGGCTGGACATCACACCACTCCTCATCCCTGCCCTGCTGCGTGTGCTGCCACCACCCGCCTCTTGGTAACACTGCCACAGAGGCAGGAGAGGCTGGTGCCACCGCAGCTGCACAAGAAACCAGCAGTGAGCCTGGTTTCTTGTACCTGTCAGTCAGCTGAGCAGAGCTCCTGTTGTGGAAACACACTGACCACCAGAGGGCAGCTCCTGTGTCGAGCATTTGCCCCCTGGTGGTCAGTACACATCATAGAGAATGGTCAAATGGTTGACTGGTCGCTTAGGGTTTTATATATGTAGACTAGAGGCCTGGTGCACAAAATTCATGCAATTTGGGGTGGGGAGGATCCTTCAATCTAGCCTGTGCCCTCTCTCAGTCTGGGAGCCCCGTGACTGATTGTCCCCTGCAAAGGGAGGCCCCACCCACTGCTGTCAACCAGGTAGCTTGGGCCTGCTTCTGTGGGGCTATCACAGAGCACCCCCCCCCCCCCCCCCCCCAGCCAGTGGCCTGGGCCTCTCTCTTCAGGGCAATTGTGGGGTGATGGCAGGGCCACCTGACCAATTGCATCGCACCCACCTTGGCGGTGGCAGTCAGGGCTCTTGTGAGTCAGGAGGGACTGAGAGGTCAGCAGTTCAGCCCGCTTGCCAGTCCCCATCCACCCAAGCCTGCTGCACACACAGCCTGGTGTTTGGTCATCAATTCAGTTGTATTGGACATGATGAACCCTGGCTCTATATATTAGGATAACCACAAATAAGCGCAGAATCCATATTGCTGGTATCTCAAAAATCCCTAAGTGAGAGAGAAGTTTAATGTTGTTATGAGTTGAAAGTTTTCTTAACTGCCTGAAGGAAAATTTTCTTGAGAAATAGATCTTAATCCCAGCTTGCAAATACTTTCCATTCTTATGGAGTGAGTTTACAATTTGAAAAAAATAAAAAAAGAAATCAGCCACTGTGAGTGAGAGACATATCCTTTCAGCTCCCCCAAAATGAAACTAGGTTTACAAAGACCATAGACATTAGTATTTTTTGATATAGGATAGAAGATAAGTATGCATAATATGTTTAAAAAGTAAAAGTATAAATATATGAATGAACTAGAGACTATAAAAATGTACAAGCCCTAGCCCAGCTTGGCTCAGTGAATAGAGCATCAGCCCAAGAACTGAAAGGTCACAGGTTCAATTCTGGTCTAGGGCACATACCTCAGTTGTAAACTGGATTCCATGGCCTCGGGGAATATTGAGTATTATTATGATTGGGGATGCAGTCTCCCAGAATGGACTGCCTGGGTTTGGATATTGACTCTACCTACTGGCTAGCTGTATGTATTAACCTCGGGAAAGTCAACCTCTGTTTTTTGCTTCAGTTTCCTCATCTGTAAAAGAGAGGTAAAAATATTACCTAACTTAGGGGGTGATGGTGGTTGTGAGAATAAAGTATGATACAGCAATCAGCACACTTTGCATGTGACAACTATTTTTAAGTATTTCTATTTTTAAGACTCAAACTTATAAATTCTTTCACTTCTTCACCTTAATACAATATGACATCTCTCAACCTACCATGCATCTTGAAATAAAGGGTGTCTTTTGAGCTCTATAGTTATCCTCAAAAGTAAGCAAGGCAGACAAGATCCTTTTTCCCTCATGAGGTACCTGAGGCTCCATGAGCTCTGGGGGCAGTAGAACAAAGTGATGAAGAGATGCAGGTTTGTTCCCTGGCTCTGCATCTTTTGAATTACCATATCACAAGTAATCTGCTTTCCTCATGTGTAAAAGGAATTAATCATGATTCAACAACAAAACAAACAAACCTGAAACAGCTGTAAGGCTTAAGTATAAAATGATTCATAGGAAATACTATCTAACACCCATGGTAAATTATGAGTCAGCAAATATTGACTTTCTGTTCTTCATTTCCCCAACATTTTTATATTCCATGTTCTATGCTTTTAATCTCAAGTATGTAATTACATAGTTGACTGTGCTTTTCTGTCAGTTAGCATTGAGACACCACTAGTTTGTACATAATTCTAAACCAGAGGGTTTCATCTTATATATTTTATCGTTAATAGACCTGGGCTAGTAGCTAGAAGGTGCTTGATATATGACCAGATTTTGTTGTAATGTTTCAAACTATACCTAAGTCCCATTGCCTGTACAGAATGGAAAGTAATAGTAGGTGTTTTGGAAATGCTCATGTAATTTTCTCTTTGGATTGCAAGGACTAGATTTTTCTTTTTAAAAAAGCAGAATCTTTGTCTTTTCCGGATTTTAGTCTTCCTATCAAATGGATGATATTTCTGGAGCACTCAGTGTTCCTATTTGCATTAACTAGTGGTTGCTAAATTATTTTAAAATATCAGGCTCGCCTATAAAAACTGTGCCTTATGATGATTGGGATGATAATAATGCTGATACGTGTAAACGAGGCTGTTTGTATCCATTGGGAGTCTGCTGTGCTGCTGCAGACATTTCTCGGAGAGCTTGCTCTTTCCTGATGTATGTAGCTCATTTACTCTATGCTCTCAGTACTAAATTTTAGTAATTGCAAAACATCTGAGGAGCACGGGCCTAAGAAACCCACTCAAATGTGTTTTTAGAGCACCTCTGTGTTAGTAATTTTTTTTGAAAAATATTGTATTACTTGTTATTAAAAAAAACTGTGATTTGCAATTTAATTTGAAAAAATGCACTTACAACTTGAAAACAAATGGTATACAATTACTGTAAAGCTTTTTTTTTTTTTTTAATTCCAGAGCAAGTTCAACTGGGCAAAATAGTGACTAATATTGAATCAGTGGGCAAGAAAATGGAGAAAGAAAAGCAGAAGTACCATGGAAAGCCCAGGTAATGTGTAATAAGCTAACCTATAGAAAACATAATTTTATTCTACTTTGCCAATGTTCCCTGCCCAATTCTTGTGGTCTCTCAAGTTTATTAACATCCCATGCGTGAGGCTAATTTATCCTTCTGCTTGAGTCCCTCAAAGCATATCAATTATCAAAATTTTATTTTTTAGTTCAATTAACTTTTGAACTGGAGGATGTGTGAATAGCTAAGCAAACCATCTGGGTTTTACAGTGCATAAGCTCAAATCCAATTTGTGGTTTTCTTGAGAAAAATGCCATATTTTATGATAATATTACAGAAGTTTGGGGTTTTAATAGCTCATCTGCAACAATTACGGAACAGAGTTAAGTTAAAACTTTTTATTTTTTAATTTAATTTTTAATTTAATAATTTCAAGTTGTTCCTTTCTAACAGAAGTTTAATCTCATCCTACAAAACCCAGTTAGAAAGCCGACATTTTGAGTATTGCTTCCGTTTTCCAAAGGAGTAGGGAGATGGGTCAGTTACTTTGCTAAATTATCCGACTAAATAGCATCATCTTCTTCAAGATAATTTTACAATCATATATACAATTATTGGCCCTAAAGCTATAGGTTGACCTTCTAAAGGCCTTTTGACAATTTTGTAGGAACATTTATACTTGTAGGATGTAAATACTGCTCTGTTAAAATGTTTTTCTTTTTCAGAGCCTTGTTTTACATTATTATTATGACATGATCAGAAATATGGAGTGATTAGCACAGTTATAACTAAGAGAAATTTGAGAAAATGTTGCCATGGCAATACAGAATATCAATTGATCTTCCAATATTTATTGCTGCAAACTGTGCTTAATCCTAGAAGATCCTCTTGGCTAATGCATAATAAGATACTTAAGTTTGGAAGAGTGGGATATATGTAGAGTTTTAATACTGAGGTTTTGTTTTTGTCCATGATAAGATATTAATTGCAAAGGACCAAAATGATTCTACTGGAAATGTACCGGTTTATAAAAATGTTCTTTCTGCTTTAACTCAAGGCCCAGGTTGGTATAGCAAGTGGTAACTGTTAAAAGAGAGTTAATATAGCAATTTAACCAAATAGTTTAGAACTTCAGTCTAGCTGGTGTGG